GAATCTACTGTCAAATAGCATCTGGCAGAGTTAAAAGTCCAACTTCGGGGTTAAAATAATTTGGTCTAGACTAAACTAATTCAGGGCACTGGCTCAAGCAGCATAACTCACATGCCTATTAGACAGACAAACCAATGATAATGAATCCTTCTAGAAATAGTGCAAAGTCTTAAATCATAATCACATTACTTAAAACACAAATCATTTGTAAGACTGAACATATGTCACATGTCGATGCACTGTGCTGGGTGCAGGAGACTAAAATAAAACAACAGGAGTGGAGGAGAGAATTTCTGACTGCCGATTACTCATGATCATGACATGGAGTGAATTTGTGTTTTTCACACAGATATGTGCAAAGTGCAATGAGTTACCAATACTACTGATAGCTCTGCTATCTTTAATGATGACCTACATTAAGTCACTACTGTTTTGTATGAAAATGCTTCCCTTAAACCTCCTGTTCTCATATTTTCTGATAGAATCACACAGGATTATCTTCATAAAAATGTTTCCGTTCTGAATTTCTCCCTCTTTGCTAAGCTGTGATATTTTACTTTGAGTCCTGCCTACTCTAGGAAGGGCAGCTAAGGTTATGTCATTGCTACAAATTTGTTTTTCCATCTGTCCTACTTAATAGATTCAGAGAAGTCCATTCTTTCTAATAAGGGTTAATTAATATTATCGTTTCTTTAGTATGCCTTAGTTTTGAATTCCATTTAGCTTACAAAAAGCTTTATATACAAATTTATTTGGTAGTGTGTAAAATACATATGCTTAAATTTTGCCAAGTGCCACATTTTTGTTCTAGTAGAAATTACTTGTAGGCCAAGTGATTTCTTGGACTTTTTAGGTAGTAGAGAAAAATGCAGTCTAACTGATTTAATTATTTTCAGGTACTTTTTTCTAAAGGCATCTAGATTTCTTGTGAATATTTTGGGAAATTTCCAGACCCTACATTATGTGTTTGCATGGAAACTTTGTCCAAGGTTATTACTATGGTGCATAATTTAATTTTGTACATATTGTTAGATTCAGGGAATGGTGTATATTTTCATGCAACTCATCCCTTGAAGCTCTTATTAAGCAATTAATTTGGACCATCAGCAAAAATGATTGCTCTGACTTAGACATTTTTTGATAGGTTATCATTTAGGAAACTATTCAAGAGATTTTTTTCATCCTCTAATACATATGATTAAATTTTCTTCTCATTATGAGTACTGGTGAGAATGTTGAGAAGTTAGTAAGTACAGCTATTCCAAGAAACTCATAAAATGTTGATTACTGCTCTGCTCACTGAGATAAAGCAATACAAGTGATTTACCCTTTTGTTACATAATACATTCCTGAAATACGTAATTATATTGAAAAAAAGGATTGAGCATATGAATAAGGAAGCCAAAAGTAATTATACGTGTTTATTAGGTAGAAATGAATAAGCTGATCACTGAAATGCAAAGCAGAAATTATATGTGCCATTAAACTAGACCAGCTGATTATTATACTATGCTCCTCAAGGGTTCAATTCACTGCTGCTCTTACTATATGTAGGTCACCTTACTGGTTTCTCTTTATCTGCTTCAGAGAAAGTACACAATTTATTTTTTTTTCTTTCCTTCTTTCTTTCTGTCTCCTTTCTTCTTTCATTTTTCTTTTTTTCTTCCTTCCTTCCTTCCTTCCTTTCCTCTTTCCTTCTTCCCCACTTTCTTTTCTTTTAGATGAGATAATCTCAACTGAATCAACAAAAAGACTATAGACATAAGAGATTTTGCAAGAATGCCAGATACAAGATCCTTTCACAAAAATCAGTGGTGTTCCTCTGCAACAGCAATAGTCAACCAGAAATAAGATTCTGTGATGCTATTGGTAATAGCAAGTAAAAAATTATGAATTTAACCAAATAAACAATGTATAAGGTCTTTATAAAGAGAACATTTGAAATGTATTTTCACATACCAGAAAAAGGTATTAGAAACAACTAAAGCAAACAAGGGATGAATATCTGCAACAGACAAAACATTTTGTTAATTAAACAAGAAAATGGTAATAAAGGTCTAAATAAATGACGTGCTATACCATATTCATGGAACCAATGGCAACAGTGTGAAGATGTTAGTTCTCCAAAATTAATCTATACATTCAATTCAATCCCAGTGAAAATTCCAGTAGGACTTTTAAAAAATGAATTCAACATACTTATCCTAACGTCTATAAGAAAGCTAGATATGTTATGAGTAAGCAATTATGCAAAAGGGCAGTGAGAGGGGCACCCACTGCCAACTATCAGACAGCTGGTATGTGCATAGGGAGAAAGGATTAATAAAGCTTTTAATGTATATTAGGGAAATGTCATTTTGTGGAGAAAAGTGATGCTGGATTCTCAACTTATACCAGTGTTTCTCAACCTTATTTTCATTGCTGTCCTCTTAAAAAACCTTTTTTAGACCTTTTTCTTAGTTTTTCTACTTTCACAATTAAATCCAGTTGGATTAAAGTAAAAAATGGAAAAGTTAAATCTGAAAAGCTGATGGAAAAGAAAAAAGAAATACATAGATTATTTTTCTGTCTATAAGTACAGGAAGAATTTCTTAGACCAACTCCCCAAAATGCAAACTCTAAGATAAAAAGGAAATGGATGTAAAAGATTAAAATCAAAGACTTCATTAAGAAATATGAGGCAAAGTTGATATCCAGATCATATACCAGAAAAAGGTATTTGAAACAACTAAAGCAAACAAGGGATGAATATCTGCAACAGACAAAACATTTTGTTAACTAAACAAGAAAATGCTAAACCCAAGAGAAAAATGGATAAAGGATATGACCATGGCATTCACGTAACTTGTCTGAGGCTGAAACCCCTTTTGGCTCCGAGCTACATGGGGCATTGCTAAAATTTGTTTCTCACTACAGTTGATCAGAGTTCAGCATGTGATCTGAGAGTCTCATATTGCGGGTAGAAAGGGGGCCACACTTTAGTGACCTGAGGGAAACAGAAGGACAAGAAGTGGAGAATTTTACTTCAGCCGTCTTGGAGTTGGACCAATGGATGTCTGTGTGGTAGACGAGTGGGTGGTGGGAGTGATGAAGGCTAAAAGGGAAGTTTCTTCCCTCATTTCACAGTTAGGAGCAAATTAAGGACTTAAAACATTAGCAATTTCATTGCTTATAAAAGGGATTCTGCCAATTTCACATACCAACTACTGACTTAATGTATTATTTATATTTTGATATTAAACTTCTTCCTATTTTGTGTCAAGAGCATTTGTGAGGTATTATAAATAAGGAAAGAACACTGGCTGGTCCCAGGAAATAAATATTTTTATGTATACCACATATTAAAAAAGTGATTCTCCTCACACCTTCAGTGATTGGAGTCGGCCGGTTGATCTCTCCCTCACCCACCGGCTCAGGGGCGAGCATCAGGGCTGTCAGGCCCCAGGCCCCTTTCAGCAGGTTTCTGCCTTATCCAGAGGGGGGCTTCTTCTGTAAGGTCAGGGATGGTTCATCACCATATCCTTGATTTAAGTGGCAAGATGGAGGATATGGAGGAAGGAAGGTACTTTCCTTCTCTTTCTTGGTATAAACTGGAAGTAACACTCAATACTTCGCCCCCATCCCAATGGCCAAAATTTAATCACATGACCATACTTAACAGCAAGGGATTCTGGGAAATGTCATATTTACTGGGTTGCTCTATGCCCACATACAATTCTTATTACTCTTGAAAAAGAGGAAAATAGATGTTGGATGATGACTACAGGTCTTACCTATGGTAGGATATTCGTCAAAAAATTGATCTGATTTTTGGGGGGCAGTGATATGAGCTTACTCTGATAATGATGAAGGCTATGAAGAGTTCAGTTCAAATAATTTAAATATCTGACACGATCCCTGTCCCTATAAAGTCCACGAGGAACTTATAGCTTCACTGGGGAAGACAAGAACATAAACCAAGTATGTTTATATAAAATAAGGTTTTAAATTAAGGGTACTGAAAATACCATGAAAGATATGCATGGAGGATTGATCCAGATATGAGGTCTTTGAAGATGCTTTCACTGAATAAGGATGAACCAAACCTGAAAGGAATAAACATAAAGGGCTACAGAAATTAAATGTTAAAACAAAGTTTCAGCAATGCCCCATGTAGCTCAGAGCCAAAGGGGGTTTCAGCCCCAGACAAGTTCACTCGATTTGGTGAGACTGAAAAATGACAAAGGAATGTTGTGGGTCAAAAGGGGCTTCTACCAAGCTTTATTTTCACTGTGGCAAGTCAAGCACTAGAATCTTGTCCACCTCCACTTCAGTCTCTGTCTCTGCTCCAGGCTCTGCTTTTCTCAGCTCATAGATAGCATGGGGCAGAAATCTTTTTTATATCAACACAGGCAATAATGGCTTACAGTCAACAAGTATACAAGCATGTGCCTGTGCAGTAGCTAAATATTACATCATCCCACATACACAGTGGGTGAGTAGATTAGGATCAGGTGAGGATCCTGGCCATGGAACTTCCATTTTCCCTATATCCTGTGGCTAATAGCTGTAGTTTAATTCCTTCAGTAGAGTGCTAAAATTATCAGTAGTCCTGGCAATATTTTCCGTGACATTTTCAGGGAGTCAGCAGCCCCCCAAAAGCTGCAGCACATTCCAGTTTTGCTACTCTTGGTGCCAAAGCATTTCAGGAGCTAGCCCTAGGTGACATGGATCTTCTGTCCTTCAAAAGAGAAACAGTTCAGGGTCTGTTCACTTGGTTATGCCCTCCATAAGTAAAACATCACTTGGTAAAAGAATCAGCTGTCGCCCCGGTTTCTTGGGCTCTTGCTCCACCTGCTAATATAGGATCTCGGTGTTCTGCAAAGGCCCCGCCCAAAGCCAAGGTTTTTGAAGGTCTCCAGGGTGTCTCTCCAAACAAGGCTGGTCAGTTACCCTACAGTAACAGTCATTTCCTTTCCATCATTTCACCTCCACTGAGCATGTCAATCCCCCTTCTCCAGACAGAGCTGATGTGCAAGACTGCTGTCGCCTCCTGAGGCTGTGCTGCCAGCGACGCAGGCTCCTTGCAGGCGGAGCTCCCATGGCCGTGACGCGACGAGTGGAAACCGCCTCCTGCACCTCTAGGAGGCTCACCAGTCCACTGCTGCCGTCTCACTTGAAGTTTGTGAACAAACACTTAGTGTTTATTTACTGCACACATTCCTATGTGGAATGTGAGTGTGCGGGGCCTGATCTGATGACAAATGTGAATGGCCCCTGCCCTCCTACAGCTGTGGTGTCTACTTCTTTTTCTCGGGGTGTGATTCCCTCCAGAGGGCTCCTCTTCACTCTTGCAGATTCTTGAAGCCCCACCCCTCTGGCTCACCGGAAAATCTCCAATATGCCTGAATTCTACTTAGGGCAAAACCAGACACCTTTGAACACCAAGTTAAGGAAAGAGGAGGAACGTATTAAATTACACTTCCCATTTCCTGACATTGTCTCTGTCTTGCCAATGGGTTTCAGCCCCAGGCAAGTTCACTATGGATTAAGTGAGACTAAGGAATGACACTGGAACATTCTTGGGGTGAAAGGATTTATTACCCGGCTTGTTCTCCCAGCAATAGGTTGAGCACTAGAATTAACGTCTGCATCCAACAGTCTGCTGTAATCCTCCTTCATCTCTGCCTGCACTTGTATTAAATCAACCCACATATGGGTTCTCGTAACCTTCATGGAGCCCTTTAAATTCTTTCTCTGAGTAACAGAACTTACTTCTTTCTGTGTTCTCATTGCTTCCGCCTCTCCTGTCTGCTACTGTATGGGTCACCTCACTAAGTGAGGGGCAAGAATGCCCACTAGAGACCCAAAGAGGGATGTGGGAGGCATTTGAAGCACAACATTTCTCATTCCTGCAGTAATAGTTTCCTCATCTGGGTCTCTGGTCTACAGATGGCATTTTTTTATGCCTAGCTTCTGTAACACCTGTTGGAGCTCAGCATACGTCTGCCATCTAGCAGGAGGATGGTGAATCACCCGGATTGGGCAACACAGCACCAGTGCAGCCATAAGCCAGTTGAGAGGGAGTGATTTCCTGGGGTCTGATGTGCATTTTGTAAATGCTGCCTCAAGGCAGGATGAACTGTCAGGGAAGCCAGCTTTCCCATCGCTGATCCCAACAGAACAATTCCATCCACCCTTAAATCCCACAGATGCAGGACCCAAGCTGATACCGACCACGAGGGCTTTTGCCTAAACCGGGAGGCCAAATCCACCAGCTCAGCCTGAGTATTGGGGTGGGGCACAGAGTGCTCCGTGACCTGGGGAGGAGGCTGCACCTCTCCTGGAGGAACCCTCGGTTGCTGTGTCTATTTTCTTTACAACCACTGGGCTTTCAGTAGAGGAGGGGCCAGTGCCTCCGGCACCACCCCTTCATCCTTCCCCAGCTCCTCCATATCTGGGGCTGATGGCACCTTTGAACCACAACTCCCTCTGCCTAACCTAGCTGTAGATAGCAGGCTTCATTGGACACCCTGATGTCCGTCTTTTTCCTAACAGTAATCCATTGGAGGAACACTTCTTGATGCAAAAAAGTTTGAAGAAATAGCCCCTGATGTATTTTTCCTTTTCCATGATCCGGTTGCCTTCCTTGAGGACTGCCCATTTGCCATTCTAACTGTAGCAAAGTGTGTGTGTATGGTGGGGGAAGGGGAACATGTAAATGCCATTTGGCAAAAGAGGAAGATGTGATGTGTAGACAGTTTCTGCTAGACAAGAAAGGGAAATAGAAAGCCTCTCCTGTATTCAGTGAAAAGAGAAAAGGAAGCAAATGTATTGTCTGATGGGAATGTTCAGGCACAGTAAGAGAAAATGAACAATACACTTACGAGAGTTTAACAAAGGCCAGGAAGCATGAAATAAGTGCATTTCAAAAGCCTTTTTATGCTAATGAGCCCCTTGGTGGGTGGTGCTGATATAGGCAGCCTTCCGCTGAGGTGATACCTTGTTGCATTTGAGTCTAGCAGGAACTATTCGTTTCTGAATTTTAGCCTGCCCTTTTAGCCCTGATCATCTGAGTGATGCATAAATTAGAGTAAATCCACATTGGTTTAACAAGTTGGATTCTGATTTTCACCAGTAGCATAATTCATGCCAGCAAATAAAAATTACTTCACTTGCTTACGTGACTTTAGAAGTGAGTTATCAGAGAGCATCAGTTCCCAAGGGTAGCCTATTAGCAATGTGCCGAATGGCATCAGATGCCAGCAGTAAATTGCAAACAGACTCTTGTGAGCTCTTAGAGCCCAGCATCTGTGGGCATTTAACCACTTGCACTTAGGCCATGCATTCTCCCAAGCAGATATTCCAAGATTCCTTTAGCTGATCAGGGTAACAAGAACCCTTAGGTGGAAAGAAAATAAAAGTTTAAATCATTTGTCTTATTCCTGGTGAAGCAAAGAATTGTATTAGTGAAATGTTTTTGGAGCTGAATACATAACTCCCTTATAATGTTGGGGGAGCGTTGTGTATTTTCCTTGGTCCTTGTCCCCACTACAACAAAGAATTGAAGGACACAGGGTAAAGCAGAGTAAAAGTTTTATTTAAAGTTACTTAAAGACAGAAAAATTACAGGCCACCTCAGAAAGGAGAGGCACCCTGAGAGGTTTGGAAAGAGAAAGTTTGAGATTAAAAGGTTACACACTTAGAAAGTGTGGGTGACCTCAGAGAGAGGAGTGCCCCAAAAGGTTAGGGGTTCCCCCTTTTAAGGATTCTCTAGGAATGTGACTGAGGCCTGGGGGTGCAGACCTGTTAAGTGATCTTTGAATGCTTAGAATTAACTTAACACTTAACACAAGGAACTTATTGCTCTGATTTCTCTGGAGGCTTGGTCTGGGAGCTATGAAGCAAAGCTGCCTGCCCAGCCCCCAACGTGGGCTGAGTTATTTTCTGTTTGCTAAAGAGTAAGTTAAGAATCTTACATTTTTAACTTCCTGGAATATTAGAATACAGTCTTTAAGATGGAATCCTTCCTTCCTTTTACTATGTTGTTTATGGCTGGGCCTGCATGCTAATTTGTTGCCTAGGTTACAAACTACTTTATTAGGGCTGGAAGGAGAAAAAAAATAGCATGTAGGCAAAGTTAAAAAATAAACTGGGCCTGCATGATTAACACAATAAAGACATGGGCTATGCTGAGGTACCCTCCTTTATCTGGGTAATATTCAAGCATTCCAGGCCAAGTTGCTCCTGGCTTTTTGAGCTTTAATTGATTAACTTTGGGTCTTTTTAGTGGATTTTCCTGGCCTTTTTCTCTTTCCACCAGCTCATGTCTATTTTCCTGCCTAACAATGACAACAGAAAACAAGAAAGCAATTTTACCTGTTTTGAAGCCTTGCTTCCCCCAACCCCAGATTATAACGGACCGCACTAGGTGCAGAAGGGGAATCTGAATCCTTTAAACAGGGAGAAGATAATGGCACCTGAATTTCATCAACGATCTGTATTTCTAAAATAGAATTAGAACTGCTTCCTATAGAGAAAAATGTTTATTGGCTGTGAAAGGAAAGGAGCGACACACAGCAGCAATTCACCGGAGAGTTCTGCTTTATTAGGGAAAGGTGCTGGGTTATATAGGAAGGGGCATAGGGTGATTGTGGTGTTACTTCTACGGGGCTGGTGGCTGTTGGCTAGGTGCTGGGATTGGGAGGGGGGCGAGAGGTGATTGGGCTTCAGGTGGCGCCGGCGGGAACCGAGGACCCCGAAAAGAAGCTGGAAGTTTGCCATCTTACTGGTGGGGACCCTTCATTCCCCCCTTTCTCCTCTATGGGTTTGTGGACGTTGCTTTCTCTCTGACTGCTTCCTGCTGAACAGGGGCGGAGAAGGGAGTGAGGGTTTGAGGATTGGGAGGAAAGGGTTGATAGGACTCCCCACAGTAAGGATGAGTAGATGTGGACTTCTTCAGGTTGGAAATCAATGAAGGTTCCCTGTAACCATAGGTTGAGGACCTGTTGATTCCAATGGTGCCAAGAGGATATGGGTGTCAGGAGCCAGGCGTCTGCGGCCATTGTTTCCAGGAACAGTTTCCAGCGGAGAGAGGGGTCCATCTCAGCATGTGGTGAGGAGGTCACGTGAGGGTGAGGGGTCTTCTGTGGCCAGAAGCTGGTAGTTCCTGAGTAAAAGCTGGTTGAAAGCTTGATTAGAGATTTTTCCGACTTGGGATTTGATGAACTTTATTATACAGGGTAAGAAGAGACAGACGAGAAGAATGACTATTATGGGGCCTGCAATGGGCCAGAGCCAGGTGAGGAGGGGGTTTGTTAGTATTGACGAGAATGGGTTGGAATTGGAAGCAGAGTGGAGGCTGGAGGCAAGGTCAGTGAGTTTGGTGATGTCAGTTTCTACAATGCCGGATTCGTTGATGTAATAGCAGCACTCTTCCTGGAGGAAGACGCAGGTGCCGCCCTTCTCGGCTGTAAGCAGATCTAGGGCCCGCCGGTTTTGAAGGGTGACTTTAGCTAGCGAAGTGACTTGTCTTTGGAGAGAGGCTAGGGAATCGGCAGTGGATGCCAGGGCTCCCTCAAGTTTGGCGTCGAGATCTCTAACTGCCCATAGAGAGTGACCCAAGGCTCCTCCCGAAAACCCCACCCCAATGGCTGAGGTGATCAAAGAGATACCGACCATGATGGGAAGGAAAGCAGCCCTTTTTGTGCGCGAGGGCAAGGGAGGTTGGAGCTCAAGGAATTCTGCCATGCTGTAAAGTGTAAGCTGTGGGATTAGGGTGACGAGAATGCAGGGTGTATCGGAGTTGAGAGGCAGTGAGTTGAAAAGACTGCCATTACACCAAAAGAAGTGTCCCGGTTGCGTAAAAGTCTTAGAGCCGGAGGTAGGGGTGTAGATAGAGAGGCAGTGAAGTGCGCTGGAGGGGGGTGGAGTTGGGCCTACACAGTGGTGGATGGTGAGATTATCTGCGTATTCTGGTTCCCATAGGGGTATGTCTGCCAGGGGGCAGAGGGGTTGTCTTTCTGCATGGAAGGAGTAGTTGGAAATATTAAGGGGCACGGCGGCCAGCAGTGGGCGCTGTAGTGATGCGCACAAGAAACAATTGGCTGTGTTAAGGGTGTGGTTGAGAAAGATGGTGGTGTCCTGAATGAGCTGTAATGAAGAGTAGGAGAAATGGGAAGAGGGGTGGGGATAAGAAGATGAAGAGGCGCCGTCAAGAGTTTGGATAATGACTTTTTCGGAATGTCTGCTATCTGATGCAACTTGAGAGATCTGGGAATGAGAGGGAACATACTTTCGAGAGATATGAAGGGTACTGTGGGGGGTCGAGGACCCCCCGTAGTAAACTGAGGCTGTGACTCTGGCAGCCCATCGAGAGTCCCAGGGATCTGGGATTGATAAGGAGAATGAGCCATTGGGATATTTCATGAAACGGTTGGAGGAGTAATACTGTGGGTACTGGAAGTTACCCATGTAGTGAATGGCGCAAGACTAGTAGGGACATCTCCTGTAGGTGTCTGGCCATCGCCTGCAATAGGCTTGTTTTTGGTCATAGAGGAAGCAGAGGTAGGGAGAATAAGGGTAGCTGCTAGTGAACACTTCAGTGGAGGGAGGAAAGTGGAGGTATAAAGGCTCAGAGCAGCTTTTCAGAGGGCAGTCTGGTGTGGCAATGAGGGCAGTAACTTTTGTTTGATGCTGTGTGTAAGTCTGTCTGACTTTGAATCGCCATACAAAGGAGGCTGGGGTGGTGGGGAAGACAATAGGAATGAGGAAAAAAAGCGAGAGAGCAGTAAAGGAGGAAAAAGTCATGATTCGGGTATGGATGGCAAAGGGGGTGAACGGGATTTTGGAGGAAAGAGGACAGTAAGGTCAGGAGTCTGGAGGGAGGGAGAGTCTGTAAACTTTTGTAGGTTAAGAGATCTTTTAGGTGATGTGGGGACAGAATGGTAAGGGGCGCTCCAGAGTGTTAGTTTATGAGCTTCTTTCTGCAAGAGCTGTCCAGCGGCTAATGCCCGTAGGCAGGGGGCCCATCCCCGAACTGTGGGGTCTAATTGCTTAGAGAGATAAGCTACTGGGGCAAAGGATGGGCCCTTCAGGGTGGAAGTTTTATTGCTTGGGTATTGAATTCAGTGATGCAAGGGCATTCAATGGTACCAAAGGCCTCTGCCCAGGTTTGATCTCCATTCTTTTACTAACTTAAATGCAATTAAACAATACGTTTGAAGTACTGTTCAGTATTTTTTGGGTGGGTTTGCTACCTCAGTCTTTTTCTTTTGAGTCAGTTGAAAATTTCTTTGGAGGCATCAATCTTTCAGACACTTCCCCTTTTTGACCACGGTAAGCAGAGACTGACAAAGGGCCCACCACCAGAGGAAAGAGGCTTGGTGCATACGCCTGAGTGGGGACTTGGCGGGTGGGGTGAGCATAAAAAACAAGGCCCCTCCTTTCCTTTCTTTCCTGTTGTTGACACTGCTTCCTCCAACATTTTATTAATCACAGCTGTAAAGCAATGATTTTGGGCACTAAAAACTGGAGCAAAATAGTCACCTTTGGAGTCTGTGCTCGGGATACAGACACGATGCAGAGCCCTTTCACCCTCTGATGCCCCCCAGCCCCCCAGAGGTCTGTCATCTCTCTTCGCCTTAGCATTGGTTTAGCGACTGGATACATGGTATGACTCATTCCACTTCAGGTTTTGTTTTGTCTTGACAACATAATCTCTCCTCAAAGATTTTGAGCTATTTTGAACTGCTGGGAGAGGAGGAAAAAGTTCTTAATAGAGGTTAATATTTAATGTGCATGCTATGGATAAAATTATAGGTGGATTCACAGAACATTTGAATCCATGTTCAGCTAATAACAGATTTCTAATTTTCCTGTAACTGACTGCGACTTCTGTCCTGCTGGGCCTGCTCAGTTATTTTTGGAGATGCACTTCTTTCATGCCTCTCCTTACTACTGTTGGCTCATCTAAGTGAACTGGGTATTTTCTCTGTTGAGTCCTTATTATGTCCATTTCCAGGGTTTCTCAAAATTCCCACCAAAGAGCTTGAAATTCAGTCGTTTGCACCACCCCACAGCCCTTGATGGCCTTGGGAAGTATTTTTCTTTCCCTATTTTGTCTTCTTTCTCCTCCATTTTTTTCTGCTTCCCTTGCCCCTCTGCTCTCTGGGGATTGTAGACTTCTGATACCTCCCCTGCTTCTCGGGTCCTGCCCCTACTCTCTCCTAGGCGCACTGCTGACGGCAGTCTCCTAGCTGGGAGACTCAGCCATGTCAGTCAGCAGAGAGCCACACATTGCTTCAGCATGGGGACCTGTGATCTGCTAGGAAATAATGGGAACACAAGTGAGAGATTCATTCAAACTGTAATGAAGGAATCAGTAAGATGGTAAAACTTCATTCAAGATTCAAATAGCCCTTGAGTAAACAGATATTTAAAGACATCAGAAAAAAGGATATTAAAATAAGGTTGTTAGGTTAATATAAATCTGGTAAATAAATTACAAGGCAATAAATTTGGGATTATCCTTCCACTAGACAGAAATTATTTACATCTCTTTACAAAGGAAACAATCTACAAAATTAAGATGCAGCTTCACAGAATCTAAATTAAGATGCAGCT